CAGGAGTTTGAGACCACTGCAAGCAACATAGTGAGACTCCTTCACTACAAATAATGTAAAAATCATCATTGTCGTCATCATCCTGCAAGATCCACAAGGTCCCTGAAAAAGGTAGTCCATCTTTTGAAGAAACGAGAAGAATCCTCTGGGTCAGGTCCATGGCCTAACTCCTCAGAGAGAAAGGAACGAGTAATAAGGCTACTTACAGATCTCTCTGGTGAAGTGAACGGAAGATGACTGAAGTTTCCTTCCGTCTGGAACCTGATGAGGTGGTTGAAGGACACACTGCAGGCAGCTGCAAAACCTGCCAAGTGGTACAAGTGAAATGGTTTTTGCCACAGAACTAAGAGTCACATAATCCTGGCAAGGCACCTGGGCAGGGTGAAAAATGCAGTGTAGCTACTACATACCTGGAATTTATGCAGATATTCAATGCATGCATTCAATTTAGGCAGATGAATCCCTCATAAGGGATCTCCCCCAGTATTATACTGAAGACGAACCACCATACTCTGTACATCTACATTGCTTCTCTCAGTTGAATATTCTGGTACCCAGAAAGAGAAGGCTGAAGGCTTTCTCATATTGACTGTACTCAAAAGCCACTTCCTCGCTGGGACTACTCCTGTGTATAATAGAGGTAGAGTTTTGGCTAAAGAATATCCCAAATTTACTTCATTTTTGGTGCTTTTCTCCAGTGTGACCTCTCCAATGTTGAAGGAGTGAAGAGCTGTGAAGAAATGATTTTCCACATTGACTGCATTCATAAGGCCTTTCTCCAGTGTGAACTCTCCTATGTTTAACAAGTTTGAGCAAAGGATTTTCCACATTCACTACATCGATAAGGCCTTTCTCTAGTGTGAATTCTCCAATGTTTCAACAGTGAAGAGCTTCGATGAAATGAATTTCCATGTTCTCTACACTCATAAGGCCTTTCTCCACTGTGAACTCTCCTGTGTCTCTTGAGATGGGAGTTTTCAACAAAGGTTTTTCCACATTCACTACACTCATAAGGCCTTTCTCCAGTGTGAACTCTCCTGTGTTTAATGAGACTGGGGTTTTCAGCAAA